CCTGCGGAGGTTCAACAAAATCAAACGAAAAGTTAGGGTTCGAAAGTGCGCTTTCAAATCCCAATGGCACCCAGTCGAAAGATTCGTACACGGGCAGGTGACCGAGGTCTTGGGTGTATATGGGAAGCTGCATGCCGGGTATTGGTTGTTGTTGTTGAAAGGAAGAGGAACTCGGCTCAGGCTCGGTTTGTGCGGGATGATCGGGTTGACGAGGGCGTTTCAGCGTCTGAGGAGCCGCTTGGCCGCCCGCAGACTTGATGAGTTGGTTTCCAATGGAAAACAAGACATCGCTGTATTATACCGCCTGATCAGAGAAGGTACTTCTTATTCAAAGAAAAGAGGAGGGACTCACCAATGTCGACCCGCGATTTGCCACCGTCTCTCATATAACTTGAGGACACTGATACACTTTTGCACATCCACCGCCGCGCGTTGTGGGTCCGCAGTACTGCCAGTCTTCTGAGCGCCCCAGACGTTCAACAAGAGAAACATCGCCGAATCCATGAGCGCGCTCTGTCGCATGAACAGTTGGGTTAGCGTGTGGAGGAGATGATGGCCAAGACAGACGTACAACGACATGCGGATGCGCAACGAGTCCCCGTTTGGCCTGTGCTTCCATTACATGACTGCACGATCGGGCTGAATTAGCGCAAATGGCGAGCGAGGGAAAGTTGGAGGCGAGGGGAGATTCGCTCGTCGGCGATGGGATGAAGCTTCGATGGATTTGGATTTGAACTGCGAGCATTTCATGAAAAGTAACGAAATTGAACGAGATTTGCGAACCATGGTAGTAGGACGCATACAAGCAAGCGGATTGCGTGGCAAATATTTCATCCTCTCGATGGGGATCCAAACGGACTGCATTCTCTCGTCAGTAGTATGTACCCATTGCCAGAGGGCACTCACGGTGTTCAGGGATTGCATCTAACCATTCGTTCAACGCCGAACTGCGAAAACAACGAGTCAGAATGAACACCACAACGGAAAGAAAACCAACTCTAATTTCGCAACAGCAGTTTGAGTCCACTCCGCGCCGCGTTGTGGTCGTTTCACCGAGTACTGAGGCGTATGGGCGCAATGGATTTCGGACAGTAAAAATTCACCCACAATAGTCTTCTGCGCCATGCCCAATATCTCCATCAGCTTGATATACGCCGTTATGAACGCGGATTGGGAGGGTTTCCCTGCGGGTTGTTGGAATTTCCGCTGTGGATCAAAATGGTCCCAATACTCGTCGTCCACTTGGAGCGGGTAGTCGACGTCGTAGCTGGAATGATAAGTCACTGTCTTCGATGGGTGATCGAGAACTCACTCATCATCCGTCATGACTCGAGGACGCCCAAGAAACGCGCTGATAAGCGCGTCCGAGGCAACCAAGATCCAAAATACGCGCTTGAGGAGTTCATCTGGGATCAAGGTCAAGTGGCAAGATCATTTGGTTTGTGAGAGGCCAACCTTCCACCGTCATCTTCCCTGTATCCTGGCGCCTTCGCATATGCACGCCCAATTCTTGTATCTGGCGCAAACCGATCGCAATCAATATGAAACAAGGGTCGGGGGAGTTGGTTCCCTGTAAATAGAGAATAGATAGCTGGTGATCGACCGGTCAGTTATGTACAGCAGCAAAAAAAGAACAGACGCACCACGTTGACTTGCAAATCGTAGAGTGTAGGAACAGGCCGAAAGTCCGTCGGAATATATTGCAGTTGCTGAAACCACTCCCAGCCGGCACTCAATCTCGAGTTGGTCCCAGGTAGTACGACTCTGGGGTCGTCAGAGTATCTATGGTAGTTCAGACGAATCAGTCACTACAGGCAACATCGACCGACCTCGACGCCAGGGCACAAACCGCCAGGACAACAGCTCCAAAAGAGTGTTCTGCTAGATGACGACCAGCTGCGATGGCCTTTTCAAAGGTGGGTCGATGCAACATGCAGATCAAGATATTGATACGTTGAAAGAATAGTGAGACCTGGAAGGATTAGTCTTGAAACTACGTAGCACTTGGAAAATTGATACCAGACTGTCCAAAAGATCTTGAGGTGGAAATTTGTATGTTGGTGGCGGGGTCACTGGCTTCTTCTCCCACTGTACAAGATGAGTGAAGGGTTAGGCGAGGGAAGATTACACACAGGACTATCCCAAAACTCGGGACGGCGTATGATCTGGACGTTAGAACCATGCCCATCATGAGCTTTTTTCATATCGAGAGCAGCCTGTATCAGGAAGAGGCCACTGGACCTAGAAAATGGTCAAATATGGCCAAGTTGAAGGATTTCGGTACGGACCTGCCAAAATACCGCGACTGGGCTGATTCAAATACCAATTTTTCGTGGAATCCGTTGGTGAGGATGAGTATTCCATCAGGCACCGAGTCATCCTCGGTTGGATCATCAGGCGGGTCCAGGGGCCTCGCTGGCTTTTGTAGTTGGTCTTCAAGACTACGTGCATATCGTGCGAGGTCCAGTAAGACGTTTCGGAGGTTGCGACTGTTTATATACGCCGTAGACTGAGTAAGAATAGCCTCGACGTGTTCTTGCGCAGTCTTGTCGTTGGGTTCTTCGTCCAGCTCCTGGGGTGGAGAGCGCGTTGATCTTCAAAGCCAGTTAGAGATTTTTAGTCGCAAGAGCGAAAGGATAGGTTACGAAGGAAGATTTTGGGCTTGCTCTTTGGGAGAACTTGCACGATGTGTGCAAGGGGAATTGAAAGAGATACAGTTCGAACAGATGTTTCCCGGCATTTTCGCGCTATCGCCTGGGAAAGAGTGAGTGCTGAGCTGGATTTGGTGGTTCTCCGGACTCACAGCGTACTATCCCACAATCCTTTACCGTCAAGTGTTCAAATTAGCTGAGAGACCCACCCTTCCGCCGTCTACAAGAATCGCATGCCCCTTTCAGTCTCCTGCGTTTAGAGCCCGGTGCAGGTGGCTCTGATTCGTCGGAATCGTGGATAGGAAAATAGAGCAGCCCAGTGGTCGGCTGAAGGTCGACAGTCTGCATGACGGTCAGAGGAGAGAGAGATTGATCACCGTTGACATCATCACCGACGAGTCGGCGTATTCGTGCCGAACCCTCTCACTCAACATGTGCCGAACCCTCTCACTCAACAACCACACCCCGCGATTACGGCCCCGACTCTAACATGAGGCGAAATCTGACAACCATCGAGTTCTCTGACTGACGCCAACAATCTAATGAAATTCGAAGACCGCAAGTTGACCGACCGCAAGGCTTCCTTTAAAATTAAAACTTGACCAAGGCCGAGCGCATCCATGCTGTCCTCTCTAACGCTCGGCCTCCTTCTGGCGACAGCGTGCGCTGCTACGCCAGGCAAGTTCAACCTCCGTCCCTTCAAGATTGACCTCAGCAGTGAGGTTGCACGGATGAAGACCCTCGTCAACAACACTCGACTACCATCTCACGACCTGTATCCCGAAGTAGGAATCGCGAATGGGATCGAATTGGGTACCCTGGAGGAATTGAAGAATGAGTGGACGACGAGTTTCGATTGGGAGACTCAGCAGGCCGAGTTGAACGAGTGGGTTGTAGTATGGATTATCCTGACTCGAATCTCAGTGCTCACCAGCTCGTTCGCAGGTTCTCTCACTTTACGGCCGAAATAGAAGGGCTAACTGTGCATTTTATCAACCAAAAATCCACAGACCCGGACGCTATTCCCCTCATCCTAGTCCATGGCTGGCCCGGTACGGTTACATTTACCACCTCGGTTCAGTTTCTGACGCAATAGTACAGGTTCTTTCCAGGAATTCGCCCCAGTGATCAAACCGTTGACCTCCTTACATTCCACCGACGGCAAGACGGTATCTTACAACGTCGTGGTACCTTCCTTGCCTGGTTTCGTATTTTCCTCTCCCTCGGCCAATGCGAGTTGGACTTACAAGGACACTGCGCGCGTGTTCAATACCCTCATGACTGAGGTTCTGGGCTATGAAACTTATACTGTACACGGAACAGATTGGGTAAGTTTCAAAGGCATCCCCAGGAATTCACTCACTGAACTGAGGATAGGGCGCCGTAGTTGCATATGATCTTTACGCCAACTACAACACCACCGTGCGAGGCGGGCATTTTGTCTTTGTCCCTTTCGTTCCCCTGACGCCTGAGCAACTTGCCGCCGAGAACATCACGCTCACACCAGAGGAGGCGATTCCTGAAAGTCTGTATGTCATGTGGAGCACCACTGGGGACGGATATTTCCACGAACAAGCTACAAGGGTGGGTGCTCTCCACATCAAGTTCTCTCTCCCGCACTGAGACTTTACTGTAGCCGAAAAACCTCGGTTTCGCGCTATACGACAGCCCTGTCGGACAACTCTCCTGGATCGGCAGCATCTGGAAGAACAGTACGCCTCGCTTCCCACTTCACTCTCCCTGATGTTAAACTAATTTCTCGGAGTGTCCGACCCCCGCGCCGGAACCCCACCCTCTCTCCTCTCCAACACACCCATCCTCACCTCGGTCTCGCTCTACTTCCTCACCTCCTCATTCTACTCCTCGATCTGGATATACGAGCAAAATCAAAATCCTCTCAGCACGGTTTATTCGAAACCGCCTACGGATGCACCGTTGTTCTTTAGTATGTTTGCATACAATCAGGATTATTGGCCTGAGGAGAAGGTGAGGGAGGTTGGAAATTTGATTTCGTATGAATGTAGGTGGTTTCATTTTCTTTTCAATGAAGATATGATGTTGAATGGCTATCGTAGTTCATGAATTTGGAGGGCATTTCCCGGCCTGGGATAATCCGCCGGCGTTGATTGAAGATATTCGGGCAATGGGTCTTTTCTTGAGGGGTTGAGCCGTCACCGTTGAATTGGATACATGGAATCCAAGTTGAGATCTGAGACTCAAAATCACAGCCTCGTCGCGAACCAAAAATCACGCTAACAATCCCATGGCGGCCCCATAGCAAATAGCCCGAAGGTCACTGTTGTCAGGGCGGGGCTGCGTGCCAGGCTGAGCAAGTAGGTGCAAAAAGAGGACCCTCACCGGGATTTGAACCCGGGACCCCGTGCATTTCAGGAAACACCCAAAGCACGTATCATTCTACTAGACCATGAGAGCATTAAGATGTTCATGGAAGTAAATATTCATAGTCATAGTGGAAGATCAGCCAAGATTCTGAATTCAGCGCACAACTTTATTCGCAACCAGTGTTAAATTTCCCTTTTGGGGAAGCTTGCGGATCACTTTCGAGGGTCTGCAAAAGAAACCATTCAATTTCCAAACCAGATTCAGACTCCACTGTCCAGAGTACCAGTGCTCAGTGCTCATCAGATTCACTCTGTGCATTAATTGTTCAAATTCAACCAAAATTGAACATTCCTGGATCCTATGGCTGAGTGGCAACTTATACGGCCACACTCGGTAGTTTGAGCAGTTGCACTTAGACATTCCGAATGTGAAACAGGGAATCCGACAAGGAATCTGAACCTGGTGAATCGGGATTCGGGCCTTCGGCCATCAGGTCTGTTGAAAAAACGGAGAAACCTAGATTGAACCTGGAACCCTGCCACTTCATTGCGGAGGTTATGGAGCATCGAAAGTATGTAAGAGAGACCACTAAGAACCCTGTGGAAAGGCAGGTAAAAGACTCGTCCCACCAACATCCACCCAAAACAATTACTTGACAATTACCCGGTTGTGAAGCCTTTGATCAAAGGAGTCACATGACTTGGATCAGTGTGGCGTATTTGTTCCGGCGTCTTTTTTTCTCTGTCCTTTGCCCACATTCACTCCAAGTCACCAGTGGCAGCCGCAACTACCAAATATCTTCCTCCTCCGCCTGCATCTCGCCCACATCATGGGATCACAGGCACCCAGTGGCATAGTGCATGCCGGTGAGGGGAGCCTAAAGGGGAAATTCATGAAGATCACGGATGACAGGGTGGTGGCACGAGCAAAATATGTGCTGCTACCCAGAGCCATCGAGTGCGAGACGTTGAAGTCTGCACCAAATGATAAATTCACGGTCACCAAGTGTGAAGCCAAGTTGAATTGCTGGGAGGCTTTCCAAAAGGTGGGTCTTGTTACTTGCCGCGGTGCCACACACTCATTCATGGAGTAGCACCAGATCCAGCATGCCCGGGATGCTTGCAAGGTTCGGTCATGTCACTGTGTTTTAATGATTTTTCAATGGATCCTTATGCCAGTTTGTAGAACACGGATAAGAGATACACATGTCCCTTCAGGAAGTGCAACAGAAAGTTGCACCGCTCGCTGGAGTTGCTCGCAGCTCACATTGAAGACACACATCTAAAGGGGCTCCCTTGCCCATTTGCCACATGCCCCACCCACAGCACGCAAACAGATAATACCACTTCTACCGCCCAGGCTGTCTTCACTCGTCATAGTCTCATTACCCATGTCCACGAACAGCATGCAGAATTGGTTGGCTCACGAGTTGAGCGTGCCCTACTCCTCCCAACAGCAAAACCACACAGAATGGCTCATATCCATCTGCCACCACCCCTCCTGTCGTCTTGCAATGATGATATCCGCCTTGGTGGTCTCTTCGTTCCACCTGTCTCCATACCAAAGACAGAGCACTTCACACACCTCATAGCTTCATTTGCAGGTGGTCCAAACGCCTCAGGCCCCTCCTCCCTCCCTGCTGCCCACAAGCAGAATACCACCAAACTGCCTCACAAAACAATGACACTCCGGAAGCACCCACAGAGGGCACTCCCACCACAATCAGACCAGGGGCAATCAGATTCACAATATGAATTTGCCAACTTCCCGACAATAGAGTTCTTCAGGGACAGCCTGACGGTGTTGCCTGCTTCATTCACACCTCTGGACATCCTCAGTCCCCCCAATTTTGTGGTACAGCCTACACCACCGGAAAGGGGTCTTGATTTGATGCGGGGGCCTCGGCCGGGGTTGGGTAGGAAGGAGAAGGCACCGCCGGGCCCGAGTATCTTTTATCCAGTGTTGCAGAAGGAGGCTTTTGCGGGGTATGCGAGGGGGGAGGGTGCGGTTACTGATATGATGAGGGAATAAGGAGACTCTGGGCTTGGGGCATTGAATTGAATTGTTGGATATTTGGATATTTGGACAGTAGATTATACATGAGTAATACAGAGGATTCTGACCGATGTGCTGGTGATGGGTTTATTTTGGTCAGAGTTCAGCTTGCGGCGCGATGACTCAAGTCCGGTGTTCAGCATCATGTTTTCAAGTTCACAAGACTCGTCGGGGGGGTACTTCACACCACCGCTGTGGTGACCCTACATTCTATGCCAGTGTAAAGATTTAGAGCGGGGATCAAAGCATCGCACTTTCAGTGCATAACAAGATTTATCCTGAGATGATGGTTATTGCTTGGATGATGGTAAATCGGTCAGAGTTTGAAAAGGCTTCAGACAGTGTTTTATAGAGAGAAGAATTGGAGGCGAATGACTGTGACAGGAGTATGTAGCACAATAAGTTTCGCAGGCGGCTGACATTTCGGGCTCGAGTTGGCAGGCGGGATCAATGTGATCTGAAGGGCCGAGCCACAATAACGGGCTGCAGGTATCTCCCGCCGGCAAGGATGGAAGTAAGGGCTAGAGCACGGTTTCGGAGACTGATTGGACTCCTGAGGCCTGAGGCCTGAGAAGATGGTCTGCGCATTGAGTTGAGAGGCGTAGTTCAAGCTGACTAGACAATCAGAATTGCTGTGTACCCCAGAGAGGTCGTTACCGGAGAGCATGAGAGGATTTCGCGGACTCGGAAGCGATGGCCATCAAAGAAGATAATCCTGTCGAAGAAGCAGCCCTCCGGGGATGTGGGCAGGTCAGCACCCCAACGAGCGTGAGGTGACCGTGCATCCAGAACTTGACATCGAGAAGTCAGAAAACAATAAACGATTCCGACCGCAGACCAGACGGGCGGGTCTGTCAACGACGAAGATGGTAGCGACGAGTGTCATACGAGGGCCGAGTCATCACAACCGTGCGGAGATAAAAGTACAATAGCATGACATGTTCTTGGAGGGAACTTGAAGACCGAGAATTTGGGTACTAGTGTAGATTTCGTCACACGTCGGGGTCGCGAAATCTAGCCCGTTGGACGCCGGCGCCAGAAGAAACAAAGGCGAAGGAGGTGCCATACGTTGCCCAGGGAAATTTGTGGAGGTGAAACTCGGAAGCGTGAACGAGGAACAACAAAAAAGTTGCCCGAAATGGACAGATGGGGGACACACAGAGCCGTGCCTATCGACGGGTAGAAATCTTTTGGCGAAGGCGGCGTTCGAGGCGACTAGAAGAATAAGAGACTGAGCGCGGGAAGGTGATAGGCGTGAATACAAGCATGACGGATTGGGAAGACAATTGCAGTCATGTTGTCCTTGTTTGCACCATGCCAAACCTCATTGTCTTCCACCAAAGTAGAAGAATGGACGGCGAAGACGGCGCTTGGCTACTCCGGCCATTGTCGGCCAAGTATAAATACTGGGGCTAGTCTGCTGCATTTCCTTAGACTTTTCGTCTACTCTTCTGCCTGCTACCAACCGCCTCACGCCTCTTTTACGCTCTCTGTTCCGAGCCTCGTTCTCTCATTGCACCTTCCATCCTTTCAAACGACCTTTTTACGCCTCGTGAGTTCTCCCCATTCTCTTTTCTTGAACCCTGCCGACAGCAATCCAGTTTTCTTCCATCGCCGCGCGATTTCACCATGTCCTCCGCCATCCCCCACGTTATTGCATACCTCACCCGCCCTCTCGCGGCCGTGGCGTCCCCTGCTGCTGTTAAATCTGCTCAGCTCATTCTCAACGCGTCCCTTCGCGCATCTTCTGCGACTTTCACCCTGACGTCTATGGTGCCTCCCACTGCCATCCGCGCCGCCGCCGTTGGCTCTGCTATTCCTTGGGCCAGTTGGTTCGACGCCCTTGCCGGTGGCCGCGCTGGCACCATCCTCCTCTTCTACGGCCCCGGGTATCTCAAGGTCCGCATTGGAGAGGAGCAGGTCACAGACGTGTGGAGCGAGGAGACGCAAGGGAGCGTTGTGCCCATTTCAAGGGCCAAGGCCACCTCCGTCCCTCTGCTGCAGCAGTCCACCGGTGCACGCCTTCGTGCTGTGTTGCTGTCTGCCCGTGTGAGGAACCTGCGCCGCACTCAGCAGGAGGAGGAGCAGGTGTCTGTCAAGACCAGCGTGGCGCAGCCCAAGCCCATCCGCGTCCCGACTCTCTTCATCGACATCTCCGACGACGAAGACTCGTCCGATGACGAGTCCGACTGCAGTTCCTCCTTGTCCTACTCTACCGAGTCCCTCACTTCTGCGGCCTCCTCCCCGCCTGCATCACCCGCTTCCAAGCTGGCAACTCTGGCGCTTCCCTGTGCCCCGCCGCTGCTCTACCGTGCTCCCCGTCCCAAAGCCACGTCCGCTGTTCGCTCCCCGGCGGTCACGATGGACTGCAGCAACAAGCAGCTTACGTCGTACCTCTACCAAGGCGGCGTGACCCGCGTCATGACCGGCGGTGTCATGCTTGGCGCCCGCCAGGCCCTCGTCGCTTCCAAGCGTTCTTGAATCATCCATTCGGCATCCCGCATTTTTTTTCTCTCGCATTCTCAATCATCACGCAATACGAAACAACAAACGACTTTGCACGTCCTGGACACGTATCATATCATCTCGTACATCCTTCACGCTGGACACTGTAGCATACTTGCACATACATGACTCTGTAGCTAATATACGTACTATTCGTTGTAATACTTATCAAGGCGGCGAGAATACATTGATTGGTTCTGGCAGACATTCAATTTGGTGTTTTTCGAATAAAAGTACATTCCCAGCAAGGTACATATATCAAATGAAATCTGCTGCTCAAACTCGCTGATGTAGCTACCCCGTCGACTCTCATCCGTGGCGCTGAGCTCAATCTGCACATCACAGGGCAGTCCCACCTCGGCATCACTAGGCGGTGGTACGTCCAAGTCCAGCTGCTCCCTCAGATCCGCGGTTCTGCACATCTCCACCACCTCCCCAAGCTCTGGTAGATCCCCAACCGTGCACACCGACGGTCTTCGCATGCTCCCTCCCGAGTCGGAGCTTTCCGTCTCCGTCTCGGTGCCCAATCG